ATTTAGGGACCAGCAGTTAGCATAATGGCTATGTCGCTGGACTCCCATGTAGTCGACCGCGGTTCGCGTCCCGGACCCAGCGGCTTAAACTCACGCCAGGCGCATGTGTGTGTGTGCCCAAGATCCAGAGAGGAAAATGGAGGAGAAGGGATTGCGGCATGGCCATCCCACTTGGGGGCTGATATCTCACTTTCTGTCTCTCTGCCTCTTTCTGTCTTTCTGGCGAGCGCATGTGCCCTATAGCAAAAACCTCTCCAAAAAAAGAAAAATTTACCAGAGAAAACTCATAAAGCAAAAGAAGGATATATGTGTGTATTTTATATGTGTATATATATATATATATATACACACACACACACATATATATACATATTTTTTTTTCTAGTTGGTATAAAACAGGCAACTCTGAAGCAAAAAGGTCATGGATTACAGGGGTAGAAGCCTCCAGTTCTGGTAAATGCTCAGTCACTATCTCTGTGGACATATGTCTATGGTTTTTTCCTTTCTGGAGAGACATAAGAGAGTTAGGGTGACCTTTGAAATCTCTTCCACCTCTTCCATTGCAAAACTTAAGTCTCTTAAATTTACCCCAAAAATTCACTATGTTGATAACAAGGAGTGCCTTTCTGGTCCCACTGTTCTGACCCAGATACATGTATTACTAAAAGTGAGAATGATTTTATCCTTGTAAATTGGTCTTTAAAAAAGCTATATACTTACTAAGTCAGAAGCCACATGTGTGCATACCCTTACAGAACTGGAAGCTTAGTAATGTGGGGGCCCTCACTGGCCCTAAACTACACGCTCAGAAGGACTTGCCCCTCGTATGCCTGGCCAGGAAAGACAGTGGTATGGCTGTTGCTAGGAAGTGGAACATTCTGTCACTCAGTGCACACACACACACACACACACACATACACATGATAGCAGATATGCAGGCTCTCAGCCCTGTGACTGAGAACTATGGTAACGACACTCCTAATATGTGTGAGTCTGGTCTTCCTACTTTCCTATGTGATTTCCTGAGCATCTTTCCAAATTAATTCTTGGCATGCTTTGTGGATGGATGTCATTGGACTTCGACGCTGAGCATTAGGTCCATTGACTACATTACATACAAGACAGTGGAGTAATTGTTTTTGAAATAAAGATTGTCAGTGGGATTCATACAAAGCCACTACAACACATCATTCCATTATGGAAACATATCTATATCTATAGATAGATAGATACATGCATATATGTAATATTAGAATGACACATTATATCATAGTAGGATATAAACATATGTATACACACACACACACACACACACATTCCTAATTTATTCTTCTTGTTAAAAGATAAGTTTGAAATTGATTATTTTTAAAAATAATATATCCGACTTGCCCATGGCCTAAAGATTAAGGGAGCAAGTTCCCATGTGGCCAACCACACAGTTCAGATCCCACTCCTGGTGGTTTGAAATATGTGCCAGGCACATGAGCGTGTGTGCCTAAAATCCAGACAGGATGGAGAAATGAAGAAGGGATTGTGGTGTGACCACACTTCTTGGGGGGAACGATGCCATTCCTCCTTTGTTCTCTCTTTAGAGAGTGCATACTCCCTGTAGCAATTTTTAAAAAAAAGGAAGAAAAGAAAAAAGAAATATCATCCTGTGATTGTCTTTTAATTAAGCACAACATGTCAATATTATAAATGTAAGCACTGTATAGCTTTTACCAGTCTACAAAGCACATATCCATGTATGGTATTCCATCACCTCTGTAATAACCTTATTTGTAAACCAGAGGCCATATTAAAGCAATTAATTAGGTTCTGCCACTCTTGAGATATCTTTCTCCCTCTGAATTCTTTATGATGGCAACATAAATTTTAGGCTACCAAAAAATAAAGATTAGAAATTGAGCAAAGGTTTTCCTGTCAAATGGCCAGGGGTCATCCACACTGTTTCCAACTCTTTGCCTGAGGGTTGCTTTCTCCAGTCATCAAAACCGTTTCCAATTATAGACTGTATTTCTCCGCAGACTGGGTGGGGGCTCAGGGAGGACGACAGTGCTGCTGTGCAATCCTGATCAGGCCACTCCTGAGAAAGGGCAAAGTTTCCATCTGTTTCCTTGTTTCACCAGGAGAGATCATGTGATCCCTGGTGATATGCAGTTTCTATTCTTTTCTGTCCGTTAGGGACTCGAAGGGAAGCCTCCTTTCATGGAAACCTCAGCA